TCCCCCTCGGGGCAGAGAGGGTCACTGTGAGTTCTGTGATTAATAGTTTTTTTCTTCTAATGCCGAGTAGGGGAGCCTCACTCAGACTTTCTTGGCTGAGGTCAAGAGGAGATGATCATATCACTTATGTTTTCCACACCTGTAAAATTATCCGTGTGTATTAAATTACATATTTTTGTTTTCTTCTTGTTTTAGGGAAAACCTGGAAAAGATGGTGCCCCTGGCTTCTCTGGCAGTGAGGTGAAGACTTGATTTGGCTTAGTGATACAATGAAGCCGTCAGCCCCACTAGATGAAGGAGGTGTTTTGAGAGTTACTAAGTGGTTATAAACAAACAAAAAACTTACAGCTTTTGAAAACTACATTTGAGAATAATAGTTTTACACCCTGTGAAAAGAGGTCATGTGAACACATTCTCTTTTTATTATTGATTTGTGTGTCTTCTATTTCTTTTGGTTCTTTTCTTTAGGGAGCCAAAGGCAACAGGGGCTTGGCTGGGTTACCAGGTGAAGATGGAATCAAGGTAATTTTCTCCTGGTCATCCTTCCTGAAGCCTTGTTAATAAGTCAGGTTTTGTCTACCCTTACCCTTTCTCTCATACCCAGGACCTGCAATAGCAGGTTTCAGTTAAATCTTTAGGATATTTGTTAAAAAGAAGAGAGAGATGTGGCAACTTCACTTACAAATTTGAAGGGTGTTCTTGAGGGAACCATACTAAACTTGTTCTCTGTAGCTGAAGCTAGTTGACTTGGGCCCAGTGAGATTTCAGCTTCCCATGAGGAAGAGATCGAAGGCAACCTACAATTATAGAAATTTTCTGGTTATTTGAGATCAAGTATGGGCTGGACTCCATCAATCTCAACCTGAAAGGCTGTGATCCATTAGTTGCAAACTGTTTTATGCAATATATTATAGACATTTTCAAACCATTTGTACAGGCACGCATTGCTTAATGATGATATACTCTGAGAAATGCATTATTTGGTGGTGATCATTGTGTAAACATCATAGAGCATCCTTACATAAGCCTAGCTGGTCTGACTGACCACATGCCTAGGTTGTATGTACAGCCAATTGCTCCTGGGGTATGAACCTGTTCATCATGTTACTGTACAAAATACTGTAGGTAACTGTAACATGATGACCAGTATTTGTGCATCTAAACATGTCTAAACATAGAAAAGCTATAGTAATGGTATTATAATCTTATGGGCCCACCACTGACCAGAATGTTATTATGTGTACATGACCGCGTATGTAGAAACATGTGCAGAGTTTGTCCATTCACAGTATTACTTCCAATAGAATTCTGAAATACCCTCATAGAAGAAAGGGGCTTGCTTACCATTTGAGTATGGAATTGCATACAACTTATGGCCAAGTTTCCCTGTGGGTCTAATCTGGGTGAGAACACAGACATGGGGATTTATGTGACCATCCATTGAAGGTGGTGGCATGGAAGAAACCCAGAGAAACACCAGAGCAACAGCCACCTCACAGACAGGATTCCAGACCCAGATGCAGGCTCTCTGGGAGAAATTTAAAGTCAATGTCCCAGTAACTTTAATTTGGTTTGTATATGACATCTAAGTAACATGACTTGTAGCATTAATTTATTGTTCAACTGTGCATTTTGCTTTTTAAGCATACCAACTATGTAAATACTTTTGGTTAACCTCATTTGTAACTGTCTTTCAATGTAGGGATGGAAAGGGGACATGGGCCCTCCAGGATTTCGTGGTCCAGTAAGTGTGATTAAAGACAATCTCAATGCCATGTTTGTTCAAGTTCTTTAACATATTGAGGAACTTTTGAATCAGTGTCTCTCATTTGTTGTGATAGAGATTGCAACATTTACCTATGTGTCAAACCAGGGCAAAAAAAAAAAAAAAAAAATAGCTGTTGTCATTATTTGTCCATTTGACAATGGGTCAACATTTCAGTGTAGCTCCCCAGACTGCGCTAGTAATGCCCATTACTAGGGAGGAGAAGAAAAGCTTTGTCTGATCAGACCTGGCCCCATCTGGATAAAGCAGGCCACTGGAGAGGACAGCTGGGAAGCAGCTCCTCCTCCCTCCACCTGGGCCAGACTAGATAACTGCAGAGCTTTCTGGCAGCTGAAGCTATGTGGTGGGTTCAATGCAGGGTCAGCAAAACCCAACCATCCCAGCCCAAGCATCTTTCAGCAGGTGGTGGTCCCCTTCCCAGCACAGACATGGATTTGGTGTCAGCTCTTTACTACATATTCTGTGACTCTGCAGCTTAAGTAGTAAAGGACACCCAGGCTCTTCATCTCCTATCTTTTAGGACATTGGTTCTCACATTCAGTGGGCTGAGTAGGACAGTCACCTGTGATTATGCAGGTTGAACACAACAGTCCATAACAGCCAAATAAGTCATGGGGAATGAGGTGTCCTGTTAAAAATGCACTTCTCAGACCCCCAGGCTCAGTAATCTAACTCAGTAGTTGGGAGTGGCATCCAGAAATTTTCATCTTTACATTAAAAGCAAATGCATATAGCCCTTGTTTTAGGATGTTTTGTGCTGCAGCAACAGAATACCTGAGACTAAATAATTCATAAAGAACAGAAATGTGTTTCTCATAGTTCTGGAGGCTGAGAAGTCCGAAATCACAGTGCTGGCATTTGCTCTGGGGAAGGCTCTCGTGGCTGCATCCCCACAGGCAGAAGGCAGAGGGCAAGCGAGCCTAAGGCTGCTCCCAGCTGCTTTTAAAAGATCTTAATCCTATTAACTAGGCAGAAGCTCTTCCAGCCTAATCTACTCTTCAAGGTCCTACGTCTTAATAGTACAGTGGCAATACCTGAATTTGGGGGAGGCTACATTTAAATCTTGACAGTCCCAGAATATGCCAATGGGGTTGCCGGAAGATTAAAGGAGGTTTTCTGTGAAAGCACCCAGCCCAGTGCCCAGTGCTTGGCAGGTGCACACACATCATTGCAGACTTTGTGGTAGAGATTATTATGTAATGACTGTCATTTTTTGTATGATTTTATACATACTACTTCACTGCAAGGCTCTTTTTACTGCCTCTTCAAACAAGTCAACGAAGTAATTGGCCCATGTAGCAGATGAAAGAACAGAAAGAGTTTTGGCCAGGCATGGTGGTTTATGCCTGTAATCCCAGCACTCTGGGAGTCTGAGGCAGGAGGATCGTTTGAGTTTAGGGGTTCGAGACAAGCCTGAGCAAGAGCAAGACCAAACTTCTACCAAAAAAAAAAAATAACTGGGTGTAGTGGTACATGCCTATGCAGGAGGAATCACTTGGGCCCAGGAGATTGAGATTACAGTGAGCTATGATGACTCCACTGCACTCTACCTGGGGCAACAGAGTGAAACTCTGTCTCAAAAAAAAAAAAAGAAAGAAAGAAAGAAAGAAGGAAGGAAGGAAGGAAGGAAGGAAGGAAGGAAGGAAGGAAGGAAGGAAGGAAAGAAAGAGAAAGAAAAGAGAAAAACAAACCAGAAAACCCCCCAAAATTTTAGAAAACCTTCAATATTTCCATCTTCATTTTGAGTAAAATCTACTTGCCCATTGCACTTTACAGGAACCAGCCTCCTTCCCTGACTCTGCGTTTTCTTGTGCTCAATTCCATATGAGTTCAAAAGAAATTCTTCTTAGGAAGTAAAAGGAAACCAGGAACAGGTCCGCTAAGTGTTTTGAGCATGTCAAAACACTATTCCTTGATTCTTGAGCGTCAGTCTTGTCTGGATCGTAGAGAAATAATAAATATGGCATTTTTTGATGTGTGAGTCCCACCAAACTTTGAAATAATTTCAGTCCATCAGGATCAGCATTTGAAAAATATGAAATAGTATAAATTTACTTTAAAAACTGAAATAAAATAAAAAGTGAAATAGAATAGAATAAAAAAGTATCAGTGCTGTTGGTCTTATGGTGTAATAGTCTCTATTTTGTGAAACCTTGATTTCTTTCATAGATAGAGGTATGTCTGTAAGTGGGTATAAAAATGTGGATGTGTAACTTGGGTCATAGCATAAAATGTATTTCTAATTGACAGCCCATGAGTTATATAACATCATGGTATCAGAAAGCTCTAATTTTTCTTTAAATGTATTCCTCTACATATCCGTGACTACCATATAAACCTATAAATTAAGGAAAATAAGGGAGGTATCAGTTTGGTCAAAATGAAGAAATTAAAATACTGGCAATTGTATGTGATGAGCTATCCATAAGTAGCTCTCCTTTCTCTTTATTCATTTATTTCTCCTTTAAGACAGAATATTATGATGCCTACCAGGAAAAGGGAGATCAAGGAATTCCAGGCCCACCAGGGCCCAAAGGAGCTCGAGGCCCACAGGGTGAGGATAAAGAATTTGCTGAACATTTTTCTGGCTTTATTTTAAGGAATAAACAACATGTGCTTATAGACGTAGGATTTGGGGGGAGAGAGAGTTTCAGGGTGAGCAGAGGAAAGATCTCTTAATTTTCACAGAGGTGCTATGTTTTGATGTCTCCTAATTTTCATGTTTTTATTTTGTAAGTGGTCTATCAAGAAAGATAATTAAATTATCTGTATGTAGCAAAGCACAAAGTTCAAGTCAAGCTAGAAAACACTAGTGGGAGGGCAGGAGGAGAGAGTATAAGGAATCTCGGTGGTATTACAAAAAGGAAATGGAGACCCTGGAGTGCTGTAACTTGAACAAATCTGTACAGATCTTGTGAAGGGGGTACTGAAGGCCTGGTTTCCTGACTCCAGGAACAATGATCTGCCCTTGACACCATGAATTAATTCACTTATATTGTATCAATTCACTTATATTGTGTTACTTATAAAAGATTTGAACATTCTAGCCCAGTAGCTCTGGTCTCTGGCTACATACTAGAATCCCTGGGAATTTCTATACAATGACCTTGTCAATCACCCTGTGATTCTGATTTCATTTTGGTGATTTCATTTCATTTTGCACCCTGGTAAACCATAAAAATTCCCCCGATTATTCCAATGTGCAGCCAGGATTGAGCACCACTGATCTAGACAAATTATTGATATAAACAAGATTTTAAAGAAGAAGTTTACTTAAAAGAATAAAATGTCATAATATATTTAAATAAATGACAGATAAATACAATCATTGATATAATTTTTTTAAACTTTGGTTTAGACTTGGCACCCATAGCTCGGTGAGTAGGGCGCCACCTGCATACACTGAAGCTGACGGGTTTGAGCCTGGCCCTGGCCTGCTAAACAACAATGTCAACGGCAACCAAAAAATAGCCTGGCATTGTGGCAGGCACCTGTAGTCCCAGCTACTTGGGAGGCTGAGGCAAGAGAATCCCTTAAATCCAAGAGTTTGAGATTGCTGTGAGCTGTGATATCACAGCACTCTACCAATGGTGACATAGTGAGACTGTATCCAAAAGAAAAAAAAAATCTTTTTGGTATATTTACCATAAATCATATATATAGCTGTCCAGAAAGTATCCACCCATGTAATATGGGGGGAAAAAGGAAAATATACATGGCTGGATACTTTCTGGACAACCCTTGTATATCAGAATTAGAAAGCAATGCATACTCCATCTAGAAGTGATCCAAGATAGTACACCGGGTCAAATTATCAATCCTAGATGTGTCTGACACCGTTTGATATTCTTACATCTGAATTCCCCAGCAAAGTACTGAACACAGAGCAGGCTCTTAGTAAATCTCTGCGGAATTATGTGAAAATCATAAGAGGTGTGATTTCACACGGTTAGGGTTCTAAGATTAGTATCCTCTTGGCACTTGGTCTAACTAAGTGAAGTTTCTAACTTCTATGTGAGAATAGGAAAACATGTGAAAACTCCATATTATTAAAAATGATTATGTTGACGTCTGAGATTTAAATCTTTGTAAGCAATTAATTAATGTTATGTATCCCCAGGTCCCAGTGGTCTCCCTGGAGTTCCCGGAAGTCCTGGTATGTGCATAGTTGGTGAGGTACACGTAAAAAAGCCATTACAAGGAAAATGCACTGTTCTCTATTAAATCTGCAATATTTGCATAAGACAAATGTTTCATTAATTTATCTAAAAGTGTTTCCAGCTTCTTAATTGTTATCTTTGCAACCTACAGTGGAAAAGGAAGAAGAATTTGTCACAAAGAGATATAGAAATTCTCTTTTTTGCTTCTCAGCAGCTTTAACTAAGTGTAAATGCTTTATCTCAGGGAATTTTCAGTTTGGGGTGTGAGTAGGGGTCTTGAGACTCAGAAAAGGCACAGTGATAGCAAACAGTAATGTCGTGGTAAGGAGCTTGGGTGAAAATGATCACTTTCATAGCGAATCACCTCTTGCAGAAGGATACCTAGATTATACTTTCTCTGTAAATGTTAAACTTCAGTCCATGAATTGTTAAGAGTGTTAACCTTTTAAGAGAGGAGGAAGAAGAGGACCAGGATGGGTCCACAGGGACCCATCAGTTGTAACTGTTCTGGGTTCTTTTTAAAGGAAACAAGAACAGACAAAAGAGCAAAGATTTGATAAACCAGTGTGGCAAGTGCCCTGCCATTGCTTATATTTTTCTCTATAAAATGTTACAAATTAAACTAGTTCATAATTTAAAAAATGAATTAAAATGTTGGAGCCCTCAACTACAACTCAGACTTTACCTAACAAAGGCAAACAATGTAACTTAATTGTATGTACCTTTATATGAATGTGAAATTTGAAAAAGAAAAAAATAAAAAATGAGTTAAAGCAGATTATATAATCATATCTGTATTGTAATACCACTGTAAAAAAATGGATACAGAAATAGATAAATACCCTTGGTACCTGTATATGCATGGTAAAATATGCATCAAATTCGTGACAGTGGATATTTCTTGAAGTTGGAATGAGGCAAAAAGCTATCTTGGAACTCTGAACTTCCTCCCAGAAGGAGGAAGAAGAAATCCAGAAGGCAGTCCCATTCACAGTAGCCACACACAATAAAAGACCTAGGAATAAATTCAACCAAGAAAGGGAAAAACCTCTACCAGGAAAACTGTGACACACTTACAAAATAAACAGAGAGGACACAAGCGAATGGAAAGACAACCCCTGTGAAGGTCTGTGTGTGGCTACGGTGTAGCCACCCGACCCCAGAAGGAGGACTGCCTTCTGGATGTGTGGCTACTGTG